TCGAAAAACATCTGTGACTTTAACAGTGCAGGAACAACCCTACATACAGCCAACTACGCAATCAGCACTTGAGCACCCCCCCACACGAAGTAACGGACATTGTCTAGACTTCACCTCGACCAAACAACCACACAAACCAAACACATTGACTAATCACAAACCGAAACAATAGCAACAAAACTAAACAACCAACACACACCTCCAAACAACAACCAAGAAACCACCAACCACACACCACCAATCCCCAACCCTCGCCTACGCTGAAGACCAACCAAAAAAAGGCACGCCGGCAAAGCCCCAACAGCAGCAGCGCCTACGCCGACACCGGCCACCTGAGGTCGCAACGACCGAGGCCCACCGCTCGCACCGGCCAAACCTCGCCGGCCCCTTTCTCCGACCAAAGCCCACAAGAACACCACCACCAGAGCTCGCCGACCTCACCACCACCCCGCCCAACACGGCGCCTGCAAAACAAAGGAACCATGGGCAACAAAAAGGGAGAAAAACAAAAGGGGGGAAAGAAGGGAAAAGATAAAAAGAAAGGGGAAAAGGGGGGAGCCTAAGCTCCCACCCCCCAACGAGCGCGCGAAACACCGAACAAAGCTTTCAACAGACGGAAGGAAAGAGAACCTTCACAGAGGGAGAGAAAATTCCACCACGCAGGGGAAAGTCGAAGTCCCATTCTTTTTTAACCACACATTCTAAAAAAAAATTATTATTCCAAATTAAATTATTTTTTCCCCAAAATTTTCATATAATGAGATCCAAACAATGGCTTACTATTTTTATGAATAATGTTATTCACAGTGAAAACTATCGATAGTCGTCTTATGTGATATATATGTGACATTTTATTATTTGATATTAATGAATCAAATAACAATCGTCACATGCATATCACATAGGACGATTACCTATAGTCTTCATTATGAATAACATGACTTTAAAGAATCCCCATTGTCACTATAACAAGAGAAGGAGAGATTCATAAGGGGTAGAGATCAAGGCTAATTATTTTTATTTTTTCGCACAAACTTAAAACACATACGCACTAGCAAAGTATGTAACTATTCAATTACTGTTTGACCATTTCTTAAAGGGTAATTCGTATATAACGTTATCACATTTCATTATTATTGTGAAAAACCTCCATACCTTTTATTGCACAAAAAATCATTTTTACTTATTTTCTCAATTAAAAATTATGAAATGACGAATATACCATTCTCTTTAAATAAAACAAAAAGAAAAGAAAAATTAATTGCAATCACAGTCTCAAAATTTTTTAAAAGCGCAAATAAGTCACAAATAAATTATTAAAATGGTAATTAGCACATAATATCCATCCCTTTCACTATTATTGCAAAAAAGTCCCTACATTTTATTTTTCTGGCATTTTTACCCTTAATTACACATTTATCTGTGCAAACAATCATTTCTATCCATTTTCATCCAATTTCTCAATAAAAAACCGTGAAATGAAGAATATACACTACTAATTAAATTAAAAGATAAAGAATTAATTACAAACATAGTCCCAAATTTTTTAAAAAGTGCAAACGAGTCCCCAATAAATTATTAAAAAATTAATTTTTATACAAACTGCAAACGAATCCCGATTAAATTTAATTAAAAATTTAAAAAAAATTAAAAGTGCAAATGAATCTCAAATAAATTATTAAAAAATTAGAAATTAAAAAAATATATTTTTTATTTAAATATGAGGGTATATTTATTATTTAACAGTTTTTCATTGAAAAATTGGATGAAAATTGAGGTTTACACAATTAATTGTGTAATTAAGGGTGAAAATGACAAAAAAATGAAAGATTTGAACCTTTTTTGCAATAACAGTGAAAGATAGGGACATTCTGTGATAATTACCATTTTAATAATTTATTTGTGATTTATTTCCATTTTTTTTAAAAAAAATCGGGATTGTAATTGCAATTAATTTTTTCCTTTTTCTTTTTCTTTTTATTTTATTTAAAGAGGATGATATATTCATCATTTCATAATTTTTAATTGAGCAAATAGGTGAAAATGACATTTTGTGCAATGAAATGTGGAAATAAGGGTGGAAATGCCCAAAAATAAAAGATAGGAACACTTACCTCAATAACAATGAAAGGTGAGATCGGTGTGTGCTACTTACTCTTTCTTAAACTATCTTGAGTTGTATATTTTAGCACATTAAGCCAAATTTACATAAAATTCCATCAGTAAACAAACTGGAAACAGGCTACAGAGACACCTTTTTTAACCACAGCCAAACATACTACTAGTCTATCATTGGCATCATGCAAAATACCAAAAACAGAGACAAATATGCACCAAGAAAAACTCAATTTGCTTATTGTACAAAAATGCTAATCTAACTTGGACAACTTATCCAAAGGAATACAGTGAAAAGGCTTAAACAAAATTATGGTGCGTTTCAAAATAACTGTGTCACCCAAACAGAACTTGTCCAAAAGGTACTCGGGTACAAATAAGCGAATGACAGCTCTCTACTCTTCTAGACAAGCAGAACAGCATTAATACAGCCATCATTTTCAGGGTTATTAGTAACTTGTGCATATTTTCCTGCAT